GTGCCTGTAATCCCAGCTAGTCAGGAGGCTGAGGCGTGAAAATTGCTTGAACCCAGGAGGCAAAGGTTGTAATGAGCCAAGATCGCACCACTGCATTCCAGCCTGGGTGACAGAGCGAGACCTTGTCTCAAAAAATAGGCTGGGCACAGCAGCACACACCTGTAATCCCAGCACTTTGGGAGGCCGAGGTGGGCAGATCACTTGAGGTCAGGAATTAGACACCAGCCTGGCCAACATGGTGAAACCCCGTCTCCACTAAAAATATAAAAATTAGCCGGGCATGGTGGCGTGCACCTGTAATCCCAGCTACTCAGGAGGCTGAGGCATGAGAATCACTTGAACCTGGAAGGCAGAGGTTGCAAGGAGCCAAGATCTTGCCACTGCACTCCAGCCTGGGCAACAAAGCGGACTGTCTCAAAAAAAAAAAAAAACAAAACACCACACACAAAACAACAATCGCTAAGTAGGAGGCAAAGTGTGACCTCCCTTCATTGGGGCTTTATGTCCTTACGTGAAAAATAGAATGCATCCCCCACCCCTACCCAGCGTGGCCCATTTGGGGAGATGCTGCGCACAGAGGCCTAGGAAGGTCATGTGTATGGAGGGTTCTGGGTATCACTCAGGCCTGGGAGATGGAAAAAGGGGTTATCGTGATCCCACTGACTCCAAGCTTCTCTTCTCAAGGCTGCAGAGGTTGAATGGGTGAATGTGGGAAAGGCAAGGAAGGCTTGCAGCCCACAGGCAGCCAACCCTTCCATAGCATCAGCCAAGCCAAGATCCACCAGACCTATGAACCACGTCTCTGACGGGCCATGACCTAGACATGCTGGGCCCTCCCAGGAAGGCAGTACAGGGGACCACAGGGGCACTTACCGTGTTAGTAGACAGAGCAACGAAGTGCTTCGCCACTGCAGAAGGCTACAAAAGACAGAGCCAAGTTACCAAATCCAGCCCAGGGAGACAAGGGGTAGTCACTCCCCATCACTAGAGGAACCAAGGCCCTGCATGGGACTGAGATTCCCAGTCTCTGGTTCTGAGACTGTTGAAGGAGGCCCACATCGAGGTCAAGGGCAAGAAAGCAGATGGGTCACAGGCTGCCTGCTCATCCCATCTTACAAGCATGCGGGGCTCAGGGATATCCCTCCCCTATAAAATAGGTGTGGCCAAGAGTCCCTGTTGCACCAAGGAACCTTAGAGAAAGGGCAACACAAGGGCTGTCAGCCCGCGAGAGCAGGTTCTGTCACATCTGCAAGGCTGGGTCTGGCAAAACCAAGATGAACAATCATCTCATCTAGCAAAGGCAGGCACTGGCAAGGCCACCTTCCGCTTCTAACTTCAGGAGAGACAGGGCCAGACTTGGTCACTCAGGGGCCCACCCTGCTCTTCCCAGCCCAGAAGCTGACCACGAGGGAGGCCCTATAGCCCACTCACATCCTTGGCCGCCTGGAGAAACCACTCCTTCGCCGTCTCCGCATTCGTGATGGTCTCCTGGGTGGTAAAGGTCTGCAACCGAAGAGAACAGCAGTGGGTGCCCGAGCTTAGGGGTGGGCGCAGCCTCGAGCCAGGGCTCAGCAGCGGAGGCCAAGGCAATGCCCAGTTGTCACCTGGAGCAGTATTTGCAGGTCAGTCACAGTGACGCCACATAACCTCCTGAGATTCCAACTCTTTAATACCAGAGGAGAGAGGCTGGTGAACACACACCCCCGACCCTAAGCCTGCAGGTCAAAGGCCACAGCTTCTCCCCTGGAGGGCTGCAGTCAGCCTGAGGCTCTCTTCGGCCCAGGCTGGAAGGTACCTCAGAATTTAGATGGAATTCTTCATATTTTATGTACATTCATGTGAGTAAATAGAGCATAAACGACAGCAAACAAAACCCCTCTATTATAAGGGCATGGCTCTGGGATCAGAAAGGAACAAGTGTGGCTGGGCATGCTTTGGGAGCACTTTGGGAGGCCGAGGGGGGCGCATCACCTGAGGTCAGGAGTTCAAGACCAGCATGGCCAACATGGCGAAACCCCATCTATACTAAAAAATAATAAATAAATAAATAGTAAAATTAGCCAGGTGTGGTGGTGTGCTGCCTAGTCCCAGCTACTTGGGAGGCTGAGAAAGGAGAACTGCTTGAAACCCAGGAGACAGAGATTGCAGTGAGCCGAGATCGCGCCACTACACTCCAGCCTGGGTGACAGAGCCAGACTCTGTCTCAAAAACAAAACAAAAAAACAGGAGCGGGCATAAAGGACAGGTTTGTAAGGAAGTGGCGAGCAGTCCCAGACTGAGCAGAGATGCCGCAAGGTGAGTGGGTGTGGTCAAGACACAACGGTTCAAACTGATGTGTTCAAGCTTTCATCAGTCAACCTTGTTTGCTGCCAGGCACGGAAACAGTCTAGGGCAGCTGTACTGACCTGATCCACAAACCATGGTTCACTCGGAACCCACCGAGAGGGACCAATGGCCAGGGGGACGGCAAAACAGCCGCTCCTCCCTGCCCCAACACACACACGGCCAGGGGCCGGGCGGTTTTCGGCGCTCATACCTTGGAGGCGATGATGAACAGGGAGGACTCGGGGTTCAGCTGGGTCAGGGTTTTGGCAATGTGAGTTCCATCAATGTTGGAGACATACCAGACGCGGGGACCCTCTGAAGAGTATGGCTTAAGGGCTTCAGTCACCATGAGGGGTCCCTGGGGGGAGACACAGCATCAGAGAATAGCATCAGACACAGCATCAGAGCCTACAAAAAGTGGAGACAGCCAGGTCCCATCCCTGGAGAAAGGAAGGACCTGGGTGGGACCAACAGTGCCCAGACTCCCACCCTACCCCAAGGCAGTTTTCTCCTCACCAGGTCGGAGCCGCCAATGCCAATGTTGATGACGTCCGTGATGGTTTTGCCTGTGTACCCCTTCCAGTCACCGCTCCGGACACGCTGGCACAGGGAGGAAGATGCCGTCAGCCCAAACCCCCAGGCATAAGCCGCTGTTCAAAAACATCATTACTGCCATGTCCTGGTTCCTCAGTCCCAGCTTTCATGCCCTCGCAGGTGCCTCTATTTTTTTGTTTTTAATTTACAATTTTTTTTTTTTTGAGATGGAGTCTTGCTCTGTCGCCCAGGCTGGAGTGCAGTGGCGCGATCTCGGCTCACCGCAACGTCCGCCTCCCGGGTTCATGCCATTCTCCTGCCTCAGACTCCTGAGTAGCTGGGACTATACAGGTGTCCGCCACCATGCCCAGCTAATGTTTTTTGTTTTAGTAGAGATGGGGTTTCACTGTGTTAGCAGGATGGTCTCGTACTCCTGACCTCGTGATCCACCCGCCTCGGCCTCCCAAAGTGCTGGGATTACAGGCTTGAGCCACCGTGCCCGGCTTATTTATTTTTAATTTTTTTTTTTTTGAGACAGAGACTCCACTTTCTGGGTTCTAACAATACTCATGCCTCAGTCTCCTGAGTAGCTGGGACTACAGGCCTGTGCCACCACCATGCCTAGCTAATTTTTTTGTATTTTTAGTAGGGACGGGGTTTCGCCATGTTGGCCAGGCTGGTCTCGAATTACTGGCCTCAAGTGATCTGCCCAGCTCGGCCTCCCAAAGTGCTAGAATTACAGGTGTGAGCCACCGCATCTCGCTATTTATTTATTTTTAAAACTGTGCCTTAGGGGCCAGGAAGGGTGGCTCAAGGCTGAGACAGGAGAATTGCTTGAGCCCAGGAAGTTGAGGCTGCAGCAAGCTAAGATTGCTAACACTGTACTCCAGCCTAGGTGACAGAGGAAGACCCTGACTCCAAAAACAGAACAAAATGCTCTGCCTTAGCCATTTTTTTTTTTCCTAAGACAGAGTCTTACTCTGTCGCCCAGGCTGGAGTGCAACAGCACGATCTCAGCTCAGTGCAGCCTCCACCTCCAGCCTCCAGGGTTCAGCGATTCTCCTGCCTCAGCCTCCCAAGTAGCTGGGATTACAGACACCTGCTACCATGCCCGGCTAATTTTTACTATTTTTAGTAGAGACGGGGTTTCGCCATGTTGGCCAGGCTGGTCTCAAACTCCTGACCTCAGGTGATCCACCTGCCTCAGCCTCCCAAAGTGCTTGGATTACAGGTGTGAGCCACCATGCACAGCCTATTTTATTTTTTGTACAGACAGTGTCTTGCTATGTTGCCCAGCCTGGTCTCTAACTCCTGGCCTCAAATAATCCTCCCATCTTGACCTCCCAAAGTGTTGGGATTACAGGCGTGAGCCACTATGCAAGGCCTAGGAGTCTCTGGAGACCATAGTGGCCCCTGCCACACTCACCACCAACTAGACTATTTCCTGGTTACAACAGTGAGACATCCCTACCTCACAGCAACACTGTCAGAATTTGCAAAACCAGGGATAACTTGGCAGAATCTACTAAGCCAGAGACCAAGAGATGTGAAATGCTGAAAACTGTGACTGGGCTATGCCGGGGAAAGGAGTATCAGACCTGCAGCCAGTCTCCAATCAGACGCCAGTGATCCCTGCTTCCTGGAACTCATGCCCCTGCATAGCTTCCACCTGTGCTGGGAGGGGTGACCTGTGCACCCACCAGGAGACTGCAAAAGGGGTGAAATGTGACTTCAGAGAACCTGCAGTTTCTGCTTTGCTCTCTTGGATGACTCGCTTTTGGGGAAGCCGTCTATGATGCTGTGAAGACACTCAAAAGAGCTCCATAAAGAAGCCCACGCAGCAGGGAACTGAGGCCTTTTTCCAACAGTCACTGCCAACTCGCTTCCTGTGTATGGGACACCTTAGAGGGGAGTCCTCCAAACCCATCAAACCTTCCAGTAACCAGGGCGCTGGCCAACATCTTGACTAAAGCCTCACGAGAGATCTCCAAACCAAGACCAACCAGGTGAGCCACTCCCAAACCTCTGACCCACAGACACTGTGAGAGGTAATAAAAGTACTGCTAGGCCCGGCATGGTGGCTCACACCTGTAATCTCAGCACTTTGGGAGGCTGAGGCAGGTGGATCACAAGGTCAGAAGTTCGAGACCAGCCTGGCCAACATGGTGAAACCCCATCTCTACTAAAAGAAAAAATACAAAAATTATCCGGGCATGGTGGCGTGCCCCTGTAATCCCAGCTACTCGGGAGGCTGAGACAGGAGAATTGGTGAAACCCAGGAGGCGGAGGTTGTAGTGAGCTAAGATTGTGCCATTGTACTCTAGCCTGGGCGACAGAGCAAGACTGTGTCCAAAAAAAAAAAAAAAGTTTATTGCTGTTTTAAGCCAAGTTTTCACATCATTTGTTATACAATGATAGATAACTAATACAGATTCTGGTACCAAAAGTACAGTGTTGTCATAATAAAAACCTAAATATGCATTACTCAGTGACTCATGCCTATAATCCCAGCACTTACTGGGAAACTGAGGCAGGAGGATCACTTGAGCCCAAGAGTTTAAAACTAGCCTGGGCAACATAGCATGACCTCATCTCTACAAAAAATAAAAAAGTAACCAGGCACGGTGGCATGTGCCTGTAGTCCCAGAAGGCTAAGGTGGGGGATTGCTTGAGCCCAGGAGTTCGAGGCTGCAGTGAGTGGTGATTGCACGCACCACTGCACTCCAGCCTGGGCGACAGAGTGAGACCCTATCTCAAAAAATAAAAAAGAAAGAAAAGAAAAAAAAGTTATCCCATACATACCAGTCATCCTATGCCCCCCTCGCCATTGTATGTTGGATGTCTGAGGGGTAGATAATTTGTCTCTTTAAATTCACATGTCTTCAGATTGAAAGGAACTATACTCGAGTTGTGCTAAAGGAAATGCAGGTACTACCACACCTGTACTTGACAAGATGAGGTTCTAGACTTCTGATACTGTAACAGGATATGGACTTAGGAGAAAGTGAGTGGGGTGTTTGCGTGTGGAAGGAACACAAATCAACCACTAGGCGCCAGAAGCAGGACTGCAATAGCCACCCACCTTCTGAGATGGTGACCAGTGGTCCTTGCCTCCTGGCATTAACCCACTGGTGCAGTCCCTTTCCACAATGACCAGAGCTGATCTGTAACACCAACAGGGTATTATAGAAATGAAAGAGTGTAGCTGGGCGTGGTGGCTCACCCTGTAATCCCAGCATTTTGGGAGGGTGAAGCAGGCAGATCACTTGAGATCAGGAGTTCGAGACCAGCCTGGCCAAAATAGTGAAACCCCATCTCTACTGAAAAAATAAACAAATAAAAAAAAAAATGGCGGGCATGGTGGCGGGTACCTGTAATCCCAGTTACTCAGGAGGCTAAGGCAGGAGAATCGCTTAAGCCCAGGACCGGAGGTTGCAGTGAGCCGAGATCACACCATTGTACTCTGGCCTGGGCGACAAGAGTGAAACTCCATCTCAAAAAAAAAAGAGTGTGAATCCTGACATTAGGTCACAAAAGACCTCCAGGCATCTGCCTTGCTCTCTATTGGATCACTCACTCTGGGAGAATAAGCTGCGTTGTCATGAGGACACTTGAACTGTCTGTGCCTCCCAAAGCCAGCAGTGCTAGTGAGCCATCTTCAAAGCAGACCCTCCAGCCCCCATCAAGCCTTCAAATGACCACATCTTTAGCCAGCATCTTGATTGCAACCTTAGAAGATCAGAGCCACTACTCCAAACGCAGCCACTGCAAATTCCCCACCTAAAGAGATGGTGATTGTTGCTTCTAGTTGCTAAATTTTGGAATAATTTGTCACACATCAATAAAAAATTAGTATACACTAATAAGATCCAGCAATTTTCTTTTAAATTTTTTTTTTTTTTTTTTTTTTTTTTTA